CTTGCGGGCTTTGGTCTCCGCAATGTCAACTCGTGCCCAGAACTCGCGATGCTCTTCATTCACGAGGTCGCCTGGGCAGCGAGCAGGGCGCGCGCAGACTCCGCCCTCGCCCAGGGGCGCAAGCGCTCGGCGCGCATCATACTGCGCGCGCTGGAGCCACGGAGACGCTGGCGACTTAAGAAACAGAGGCCGTCTGTCACGCGATAAAGGCGCGCCCCCATCGTCCAGTCCCAGGGGCCCAAGCATCAAACGAGAAACTCCTGGAGGGGGATAGAGCCCAACTGAGATGCCAGGCAAGACGCCTGGCCAGCATCTCCGTATCCGAGCTAGCTGGGCTCCAATTCTGCATCGCGCGCATGTTCGACAACGGCCGAATGCGATCTCTCACCTCCGGCATCGCCATCCCCTGGAGCGCCCCCCCCCCCCCCCCCCCCCTCCCATGCTGAGCCAGGGGCGAGTCGGGCTCGCGGTGATGTCCAGGCGTGAGCAGCATTGGTTCCAATCCTATCAGCGCCGCGCCCCGCGCGAAGCTGAACAAAAACAACGTCCGCCCCCAGAGAAGCGGAACCTCCAGGGGCCAAATCTGCCCCAGATCGCACTAAGACTTGGCAGTGGCCTGAATTCGTTGGGGGATCTCTACGGCCGCCGACTGCAGCGCGTTCATGTTCGGACCCAGGTGTCGCACATCTCCCTGGGGCTGTCCCGACAGAAGTTTTCGGCCCCGACCCCGCGCCCACTGCCTGCGCTGCAAGCCCCCTGGCCCTTGGAAGCAGAGCTGAACCTCTTGCTTCGAGACGTTCTCGGCGTAGCCTATCTCCTCCGAGTCCTCGGGCGACGCCCCGTCGGCCTGCTTCAGGACCTCGAGAGACCGCCCCGCAGCAGTTTGGGGGGGGCAACGCGCGCGCGGAAGATATCGTCGGCGCACAGGCGACCTCTGACATCCGCCTGCAATTCGCTCCATCGGGCTACAAGACCCGCCGCAGAGAAATCAAGCTCCCTCAGCCTGCGCAACCACTGCAGGATGGGCCTCGGCAGCGCGCCCAAAACGAATTCCACGGCGTAGGGCCCCCCACCAATTGCGCCACCCGCCACCATCTCGATGCGCGCCCCTCGTTCCACCGTGCCCAGTCAGATCGCGCTGCTTCGAAAGCGCTGCACATAAAGATCAGCGCCCTGGGATTCGGCGCAAAATTCAACTGATTGTTCCAGCCTGGGCAGGGGCCCACTCGCGAATGCATTTTCCATGTCCTTGACGGCGCGCGCATGCGAGCGCCCAGCCCGTCGTTGCCTCCAGCGCAAGATTTGCGCCGCTAGAATCGCATCTTCCCTGCGCCTGCCTGGACAGAAACCACGCTCGATCGCCGCGGGGGGAACTCGGGGGAGGCCCGGATTGAGAGCTTCCCCCAAGGTCAGCACGGCGCGCGCCGTCCGACGGCCCACTGGGCCCGGCGCGGTGCGTTTTCGAAGTTGCCCCCCCCCCCAGGATCGCGTGCCGTCGCATCGGCGTGCGATTAGTTGCGCGGGTGCCGCAAAATCGCCCCCTCTAGAATCCCCGCGAACATCTGCATCTCAGGAGCCTCCGCTGGTAATCTACGCCCGTGCCCGAGCTATCGGCGATCGCGACGGGGTCGGGGCGCGTCGGCCAAATCTTCGCGGGCGCGGCCCCTGACGGCGAGACTCTCCTCTTACTCGCCGAACTAAAATACTTCGCCACTCTCCGCTGATATTTCCAAGCCAATTCGCAATCCTCTAGAACGGCGCGGGGGGGTGGCCACCTGCGGGGGCAGCCCCCATCCATTAGTCAAGGTCGATCTTGCATGCGGACGCCTCTCCCTGACTACCCTTCTGACCCCAATGCTCCAGCAATTCCCGCCCCGAAAATTGGCCGCCCCGAAGCAATCTCCCGTCGCGTCGTTTGGGCCCATGCCTGCGCCGAGCTGCCATCCTGGAAAGCCGCGTCGCCTCCGCCATGCGTCGGGCCTGCCGCGCCCCGGCAGTCCCATCCGACAGGGCGGCCCGCCGCTCTCGTTGGAACTGTCGTCGCTGTCGCCGCGGTCGCTGGCAAAGTTCCTTCGGCTGCCCCTCGCAGTCGCGAAGTGCCGTAGAAATCTCGCTCGTGCCGAGACGGGGACCTCGAAGTCGAGCTCGCTCGCGTAGAAGTGTGGGACGCTCTGCTGCCTCCTGTCTGCGCGCTGGCTCTCTGGACACCTGGTGGCTGAACCGCTGTTGGCCTGCGCCGACTAGCGCGTCATCTACATGTTTGAACAACTCATCTGGTCGTCCGTGGTTCAGCGGCGCCACCCAAGTGTCCTCGCTATCTGGCGGACGTGCCCCCGCCGCTTCTAAGATCTCAGCTCTCTGTTCACCCTGTCTCGGACATCTCACTCGATCATCCTGATTCCATCGCGTCCGCTGTGGCGACGGGGGCTCGGGCTCACCCGCGAATGGCATGCCGTGCAACTCCATGTCGGTAGGAATGTGATCCTTAGGCGGAGCCCTCGGAACCCTTGTGCTTCGACCCCTCGTCCGTGGAGTTGGGGAAACTGGCGCATCATGTCAATCATGCCATCTGGAGCAAAGAATTGATCAATACAGCTGCCATGCCAAGTCTAATCATAACAAGTGTGCTCCAAAGTCTGGCACCCTGAGTTGACTGAGAACATGTGCTGTCGCTCATTCACCTGTCTGATAATCTCTCCAACAACCCTGCGCCGTTGCTCACGTGCCGTGCCTGGTCCCAAAGCCGTCGGCTCTACTGAGCCCCGCTGTCCTGCCACACGGCACATGCCCTGTCCGTCGTTGAGATCCACGTAGACCAACGGCGTGCAGCGGCAAGTCAATCTCTGCAAACTGCGTCCATACCATGCCGCCTGCACCGTCTCCGTGCAGTGAGGGACCAAGCGAACATGCCGAGGCTGAGGCGGTATATACATCACGATCTGAACGAGATCCACGGGCCCATTCTTGATGCGAGTGGCCAACGCTCTGCCTTCTGCACCCTTCGGGCTCGTCCACGTATGGCACACGTGCTGCTCTTTGAACTTACTAGCCGGAATGATCGCGCAACCCGTCGACTTGCTGGCATATTCTCCGTGTCCTGCCTCAGCCTTTAGAGCCATCCGCTTCCCAATTCTGCGAGACAAGACCTCCTCCGCGCGTCGCGTGGAGGCCGGCGTCCCTGCGAACAGCTACAGCCTCGAGCCCGTCGCGAACATCGGGTTGAAGCCCAATGCTCGCAACGCCCGTTGGCCCACGGACCGAGCCGTCGCGTCACCCGCGTGGCGACATAGGCTGCCGCGCCGCTGCAGCCCCTCGCGCACCACGCGCCAGAGCGGCGGCTGGATGAAAAGGAGGAGGAGGAGGAGGAGGACCAGGAGGAGGAGGAGGAGGAGAAGGAGAAGGAGAAGGGGGAAAACGCGCAGTCCCCGATGATGCGGTCCAAGTTGCCCAGGTCGGGGCGCCGCGGCGGCGTCGGCCTGTCAATTCATCGTCGTCGTCGTCGCCGCTGATGTCTCCCTCGTCGTCGACGACGACGTTGGGCCGGCTCCGCCAGCGGGGGGCCAAGTGCGCCCCCCCAGACATTTGAAGGTTCTTGGGGGGATTCAGGATTTCCAAATGGGGCCACAGATCAAGGACGCAGCTGACACTGGACACCGGCTCCGCGCACATGGCGCTACGAAGGCGCAGCGGAATTCCCCTCACAGAAGTTGTTGAGTTGTTGTTGTCGTTGTTGATGCTGTTGTTGTTATTGGGGTTGTGGTTGTGGTTGTGGTTGTTGTTATTGTTGTTGTTGTTGGTATTGTTGTTGTTGCTGCTATTGTTCGTGTTGTTGGTGTTGCTGTCGTCGTTGCCGTGTTCGTGGTCGTTGTCGTTGTCGTGGTCGTCGTTGTTGTTGTCGTTGTTGTTGTGGTGGTTGTTGTTGCTGTTGTTGTTGTTGTTGTTGCTGTTGTTGTTGTTGTTGATGGTTGTGGTGTTGTCGTGGTTGTGGTTGTGGTTGTGGTTGTGGTTGCGGTTGCGGTTGTGGTTGTGGTTGTTGTTGTTGTTGCTGCCATTGTTGTTGTTGTTGTCGTTGTTGTTGGTGTTGTTGTTGCTGTCTCTCTCTCTCTCTCTCTCTCTCTCTCTGTCTTTCTCATGGAGCCGCAGATGGCATGCAGGAAGCACTCGTGAACCCCAGGAAGCCGAAGGAAACTCCAGGAGGCCCAAGAGAGCTTCAGGGAGCCCCAGGAGGCCCGAGGAACCCTCAGGGAGCCTCTCTCTCTCTCGCCCTGCCCACTCTGAAGGGGCCCCAGGACACACAAATAAATACACACAAATAAAATGCTTCCCCATATTTTCTGGGTTTCTGTCTTCCCCCCCACTTCCCATATTTTCCTACATTTTCTGGGGAATCGCCGATTAATTGTGTCTGTGTGTTTCTTTCCCTCCTGATCTCTCTCTCTCTCTCTCGTCCTGCCCACTCCTCCGGCCAAGCCTTCAGGCTGGCGGGCACTGGCCCCAAGCGCGGCCCCTGGCACGCGCGCCGCGCATTGCTGCCAGGACTGCGCAGGCGTGCAGAGCTCTGGCTCGTGCGGCGGGTACTCCAGACTTCGTAATAAAAGGGAGGGGGGTCTCATTTCGGGGGGGGGTCTCTTCCAGGCTATCTTGGAGGGCCTGGGGGGGTCTGGGGACGATGTTTTGGAGGGTTCTCCCACGGGGGGGGGTCTAAAACTTCTCGTCTGGGAGGGTTGAGACCCCCTCCCTTTTATTACGAAATCTGGAGTACTTGGCCCAGGTCCCCGGGACCACTCTCGCCTGACCGTCCTCGCCGGCGCCTGGGCGGCGCACGTGGCTGCCCAGCCGGAGCAGGAGCGTCTGTTTCTTGCGTGAGTGGGGGCGCAGAGGCGGAGAGAGGCGCGCAGCGACCCAGTCTCGTCGCACCGCGGATGCCGCCGCAGTGTGAAACCGAATCCCGCCGGGCGAACCTGGAAAACGCCTCGCGGGCCGAACTGCAACAGGCGAGCTCATGCAGAGAGCCATGGCCCGAGAGAGCAGGCGGGCACCGGACCCAGATCCTCTGGCACGCTCGCCGCGTGGTCGGCTCCCCAGCAGCGCACCTCGCTGCTCGGCTGGAGCACCGCGCAGGTGTGGGAAAGCCCAGCTGCGACGGCGGCGACTGGGCCCAAGTCCTCGGGCACGCTGGCCTCGCCGTGGCGGTTGTCTCCCCAACAGCGCACCTCGCTGCTCGAGTGGAGCACCGCGCACGTATGAGAATCTCCAGCTGCGACGGTGAAGACCGGGCCCATGTCCTGGGGCACGCTCGCCTGGCCGTCCTCGTTGCGTCCCCAACAGCGCACCTCACTGCTCGACTGGAGCACCGCGCAAGTGTAAAACTCTCCGGCTGCAACGGCGAAGACTGGGCCCAAGTCCTTCGGCACGCTCGCCTGGCCATAAGCATTGGCTCCCCAGCAGCGCACTTCGCTGCTCGACAGGAGCACCGCGCAAGTGTGAAACTCTCCAGCTTCGATGGCGAGGACTTGGCCCAAGTCCTCTGGTACGCTCGTCTCGCCATTGTCACCACTTCCCCAGCAGCGCACGGTGCCCGACTGGAGCACTGCGCAAGTGTGAAGCTCTCCGGCTGCGACGGAAAGGACTGGACCCAAGTCCCCTGGCACGCTCGACTCGCCGTCAACATTGCGTCCCCAACAGCGCATCTCGCGGCTCGGCCGGAGCACCGCGCAGGTGTGAAACACTCCAGCTGCAACGGCGTGGACTGGGCCCAAGTCCTCTGGCGGGCTCGCCTGGCCCCAGTTGTTGAATCCCCAGCAGCGCACCTCGCTGCCCGACTGGAGCACCGCGCAGGTGTGATCTCCAGCTGCGAGCGACTGGGACACCCCGCGCCCTCCTTCGCCTCGGTCGCCCTGCCAACGTTAGGTCGGGCATGTCCCCGTGCAGACAGTTTTTCTGCACGAGAAATCAAACACAGTCAAACACATACTCCCAAATGGTCAACAATAATATTAAAACGTCGCCAAGAGACTCTGTCTGGACTATTTTTGGTTAGTCCTCGTGTGCATGGGGCAGGCCCGACTTAATGCTATCGGCCACACGCAGGGATGACCCTAGGCAAGAGTGATCCTTGGTGCGCGGCTTGCCCGTCGTTGCACGCGGTGCGACGGTGGCGGCCTGCGTGCTTGGTGGGTTGAGTACCTCGCGCCCCCCGAAGTACCGCGCCCCAGAAGTCCCTCTGGCGAAGGGCCACTCACAACTGCGCGTGCAGCAGGCTCACGTCGTGTCGACCCCAGGGCTGGTTCCTGAGGGATCGCTCCACCTTCAACGCCCGGCGACCTTTTTTTGTCGCCAGATCGCTCCACGTGGGCCGCTTCTGGTGCACCCACCGGCGGCGTTCGGCCTTGAACGTCCGCGCCGGGGCGGCCGCCGCGCCGACACAACACGGACCGCGGCCGATGCCCCACCTCGAGCAGCGCCGCGGGCGGGGCCGCCGGCGCGGCGGCCGCGCGGTGCTCGACGGCGCCGAGCGGGCGCCGTGCGCGCGCCGCGGCGGCCGCCGTGCCGAGCACGGCGAGGAGCAGCAGCACCACCGCTGCGAGCCGCATGCTGGCGTGGGCGGGCGGCCCCTGCGGGGGCTCGTCGCCGAGCTCGACGTCTGGCGCCCGGGCGGACATCGCGAGAGGGCGGGGCGGCTGCAGGGCACCGGTGCCGCCCCGAGGAGAGCGCTGTGCTCGGCTGCGCGCAGGGAGTGGCCTGGAGCAAGGAGGGACCTCTGGTGCGCGGCTTGCCGGCCGCTGCATGCGATGAGGCAGCAGCGGCCTCCGCGCTCGGGTCTGGGTCCGCGCTTGGGTCGGGGCCCCAAGCGCTCTCCGAAGGCCGCGGACCGAAGGCCAGTCCGGCGAAGGGCCTCTCTTACCTGCAGCCGGGCAGAGGGCAGGGCTGGCTGCCCGAGTGGTCAAGGGATGGGTGTGTAGAGCGTGCGAGCAGATGGTGTGGGCGGCAGAGCAAGCCGAGCCGAAATGGGCGACTCTGGAACCTTGGATCAAAAGATGGTGACGCCTCCTCGCCTTTATGTCTACCGCCTTCCACCCACCAACCCTCCGCTGGCACACCCGCCGCCGCTGCGCGTCCGCCCGGCTCCGCCGAAGGCGAGGGTGCGCCGAAGGCGAGGGCCTTCCTGGAACGCCCCACTGATGAACTACAGTCGGGGCGTTGACCTAAGGAACCCTAAATAAGGAACGAGGCCCCTTTTTTTCCATAAGTTAAACTTCGATTTCCGATCGAAACCCTAAGCAAAACCAAAGGCGAACTGCGAAACGCTTAAGGAACGCGGAGCCCCTCCCCAACCAAAAGGGTTCCTTCTTCAGGGCCCCGACTGTAGGGAATGGGGCATTGCTTTCCTTCTTTTCGGTGTAACGGTCGTTGCCTGGGCTGGGGCGCGGGGGGGGGGCGAGGGCACGTCGGGATCGAGGGGTGCTCTGCGATCGCCAGAGCGTGCACGCGGGCACCGGGGCATGCGGGTGGGGGTCCAGGGGTCCAGTCCCCCCCCCCGCCCACCTCCTTGGGTGCGATTGTTACCGCTACCCTGGGGTGGGGGGTCGGAAGGGGGGTTGGCCCGGGGCGATAGCGGCAGTTACGCGCCAGAGGATGCAAATCAGAGGCAGCAGCGTGGAATGGGGATTCCCCGCTGCAATGTCCCGGCGGAGAGCCTCGTCCTCGTCCTCCTCCTCCTCCTCCTCGCCCTCCTCCTCCTCCTCCTCCTCATCCTCTTCCTCCTCCTCCTCCTCCCCCTCGTCCTCCTCATCGGCCTCCCCCTCCTCCTTCGCAACCTCCTGGCCCTCCATATTCCTATCGAGCCATCGGGTCCCCTCCTCCATCGGCGCCTGCTCCTACAACCCCCTGGAACACGACCACAGCCGCATCCCCCTCCTCCTCATCGTCGTCGTCGTCCTTCTCCTCGTCCTCCTCCTCCTCCTCCTCCTCCTCCTGGCCATCCTGCCCATCCTCCTCTTCCCGCTCTCTGTCGTCCTCCTCTTCCTCTCCCTCCTCCTCCCCCTCATCCTACTCCTCCTCTTTCTCGTGATCATCCCTCCCTCCCTCCTTCCTACCTCCTCCCCTCCCTGCCTCCTCCCTCCATCCTTCCTCCCTCCTTCCCCTCTCCCTCCTCCCCTCCCTGCTCCCCCCCTCCCTCTCTACCTCCTCCCTCCCTCCTCCCTCCTCCCTCGCTCCTCTATCCCACCATTCTGCTTCGCAGATCCTCTGCAGGAGAACCACCTGGCCATCGCTCGGACGTCCATTCCCTGTGTGTTTTTGTCGGTTTCGTGCGCGTTTTTTTTTTTTTTCGCCAACTGATCAAGGATGCTCTTCGTTGGTCCTCGCCGAAAGAAAAATGCACACGTCCGAGCGATGCCAAGGGACCACAGGTGAGCGGACACCGAAAGAAGAATTTGCACACGAGGGCAAGGTGACCCATGATGCGTGTGTACCCGAAGTGAAATGTGTCGCCCGGTTGCGATTACGGTTGCGAGAGCGGGCGGGTTAAAATGTGTCGCCTGGTTGCGGTTGCGGTTGAGGTTGCGCGGGCGGGTGGAAATGTGTCGCCTGGTTGCGGTTGCGGTTGCGCGGCTAGGTTGAAATGTGTCGCCTGGCTGAGGTTGCGGTTGCGCGAGCAGGTTGAAATGTGTCGCCTGGTTGCGGTTGCGGTTGCGCGCGCGGGCAGGTTGAAATGTGTCGCCCGGTTGCGGTTGCGGTTGCGCGCGCGAGCGGGTTGGAATGTGTCGCCCGGTTGCGATGGCGGGTGCGGTTGCGCGGGCGGGTTGAAATAGTTCGCCCAGTTGCGGTTGCGGTTGCGCGCGCCGGCGGGTTGAAATGTGTCGCCTAATTGCGATTGCGGTTGCGGTTGCGCGGGCGGGTTGAAATATGCCGCCCGGTTGCGGTTGCAGTTGCGGTTGCGCAGGCAGGTTGAAAGGTGTCGCCTGGTTCGGTTGAGCGTTCCCAGGCGGTTTGAAATGCGTTGCCAGAAATGCTCTTCTGACGTTCAATCAGTCAGCCAATCAATCAATCAATCACACTGGCGAGCACGGAATTTCACCCGGCTCCGCCGGGAAAGAACAAAAAGCAACGATCTCTGGAGAGGGCGAAGAGGGGAGGGCAAGGCTTAGGTCGGGCATGTCCTCCGACATGCGGCCTTTGGAACGATCCCCCTGAAACTTCCGGCGTTTGATCCCGAAGGTGCGCGAGCTCATCGTTCTGTCATGGCGTGCCATAGTATACTATGTTGTCTTGTGTTGTGTTGTGAGGTGTGGTGTTATGTTTCGCTATTCGTGGGCAAGTATGTTATTACTTTTTGTGCCATGATATGATATGTTGTTGTGCTATGACATAACATATGATACCGAACTCTGTCATGTCATGATTTGACATGGTATGGAGTCGAATGTACCGTGATGTTGTAGTATGTTGTGGTTTGTTATGCCATGATATGTTAAGTGATGCTGTGTGATATTAGAGTAGTCTATGCTATATTGAGCTATTGTATGTATGCTTCGATATGTCATATCATGCGTTGATATGCTGCGCGGTGCTATGATGTGGCATGCCATGTCATGTGATGGTGTGGTATGTCCTGTTTTTGCGATGTTGCTTTCTGCGTTGGTATGCTATACTATGCTTGATTTGCCATGTTATGAGCTGGTATGTGCTGTGATGCTTTGCTATGGTATGCACTGCTCTGCCATGGTATGTTATGTTAAGATCTGGTCTATCATGATCTGGTATGTTATGCTCGGATATGTTCTGTCCGGTGGTGTGGTGTTTCTGTTCTGTGGGCGACCTGGGGATCTGGCGGCCGCGGTATGCAGAGTGGGCGAGTCGGCGCGGGGGGCGGCACCCTCAGGGATTCTCGGGGGACCTGGGGATCTGGCGGCCGCGGTATACAGAGTGGGCGAGTCGGCGCGGGGTTCGGGGCCACTAGGGATGATCGGGAGCCTGGGGATCTGGCGGCCGCGGTATGCAGGGCGGCGGGGGGGGGGAGACAGGACCACTGGGGATGATCGGGAGCCTGGGGATCTGGCGGCCACGGTATGCAGAGCGGGCGGGCCGGGAGGTCGGTTCTGAAAATCTACCGGCCCCAGCCTGTCGGGTGGGGAAATAAGCAACAAACAACCACAAGCGCACGACTAGAAGAAGCACAACACCAAACAAGCACAAACTTTCTGCGCTCCGCGCGGCATTCTTGGACTCGCGTGGACCCCTCTCCCTGGCGCGCGGAGGGGCGGCGCCGCCGGGGGGCCCAGCGCGGATCCACGAAATCCGCCTGCAGCGCCAAACGTTTCTGCTTATGTTTTTTTCTTCGAGCGACGAATCCTGACCATCTTCCTGTATTACTTTTCTTGAGTGCTCCTCCGGTAGAGGGGCGCGCCCGACTTGAGGCACAGGGGCCGAAGCAGGAGCGATGCCAGCACCAGGGCGACGGAGCAGCTCCGAGCGGCGAGCGCGGCCCGCGCCGGGGTTCGGCGGCGCGGGGCGCCGCTCCGGGCCAGGCCCGTGTGGCTGGCGCCGGGACGAGAGCGATGTCTCGAGCCAGGGATGTGCGCGGTGCGAACGAGAAGCGCGCTCCTTTGGTCTGGGCGGGGCCGCACTGGAAGAGACGCGAAGTTGGGTCGTGCTCCGCGGGGCGCTTCAGGAAAGGGTCTGGGGACGAAAGAAGCCCTGGCCTTTGTGGACCTGTCGCCTGTGAGTGGTTTTATGGGCCCCTGTGGGGCCCAGAAGGCTGCTCGGGGTGTGGGGTGGGGGGGGGGAAAGGGGCTGCCCACAATGCGGGTGTCGCGGGTTCCTTGGTCCTGGGTCCGTGTCGGGTCGGTGCACCGGGGCGGCGTTCCGGCCGAGCTGAAGTTGTGGCTCGCCGCAGCTCCTCGGCGACGCTGAACTTGGCAGTTTATGTTTGACTGGACTTCGAAGTCGAAGTCGAAGGATGAGGCGAAGGATCAGCAGTACCAGGAGCAAGAATGAGCGGAGCAAGCGGATCAGCGGAAGGCGGGCAGATGGGAAACAGGGGAAGGCGGCAACGTCGAACAATGAACCAGTTCCAGACATGTGGCACGCGCTAAGGCGAGTTCAACATTTTGAAGGATGGGGGCAAAATGCCGATCCTGCATTGTGGCCAGCGCTGTAGCGAGAGCAGAATTTGTGACAGACCGAGAGAAGTCTCATGGGGCAGCGAATGCGACACATGTCGAACACCACCTCGGGACAAACCTGTGTGAAAAACGGTATACGAGATAGAGGGGCAATCGCGATAGGATATGGGGAGAGGGGAGTAAGTCAGAGCGAGAGGACTGAACGGTCATTCAATGTCCCTGGGCGCGTGGCTGAATTCGGGTGCTGCGGTGCGGATTGTTGTTGCGCTGTTGCGTTGTTGCGTTGGTGTTGTCGCCGTCTTGGCCTGCGACCCGCCCGCAACCTACCTCGCGACCCACCCCCGCTATATACCCACCCCGCGACCCACCCCACGACCCACCCGCAACCCACCCGCCAACCACCCACATTCATTTGACGGAGAAATCGGCACCTGGCGCACGATTGTTGCAATTTTGTTTAATACTTCAGCATCGATTTCCCAATCAGCGCTTGCACTGAAGGGGTCCTAGCGGAGATAGATTTGGCAAAAATGCCG